TGCGAAGAGCTGCGTTTTCCTCCTCCAATGCGGACAGCCTTGTTGCTTCCATGAGCCTCGTGGCGCCGATGTTGCTGCTGTGCGCTGGTCCCGTCCTCCGCGGTGATTCGTTCTTCCATGCGGCGGTGATATAACTCGCCGCGTCGCTCAGGGCCTTTATATGCGCCCCTTGAGGTTGGATGATGTCGTCGCAACCCGCATAATCTCGGAGACGTGCCTTGTTAGCCCGGCGCTGATATCCGCGGCCGAGCCCGTCCTTATTCGGATGGTCAATTCTTTGGAAACGTCCGGAATGTACTCATAATCCTGCTCTTCTTTCCCCTGGACGCCGTCGAAGCCAGCGACTAGCGCGACGCGAACGAGGCGACCGACTCCTCGTCGTCGGATTTGGCTCGCGTCCGCAATCCTCCTGCGATCGGTGTCGTGGCATCGTCTACCATGGCCGGAGCGAGAAAAACGCTCCCCGACCTGTGCGCGGTTCTCAGCGAACCTCTTGTCATTTTTCTTGGTGATTCCTCCGTAATCTCCATCCTAGTGTTTTCCGCCTCTTCCTACTTTTACTTTCTCCTGTCCCATCGCCAGGCGTAAAAACGCGTCCGGGGGCCTGGCGGTCCACCCTCGAACGGCCGTGGTCGCGAGATGTCGACGCAGCGGGGCCCACTTGACTACCCACGACTGCGCCGGTACTGGGGTCTCCCTCCCCTGCACCGTAAACGTTATTCTTTTGTTTAGTCAGATCCATGATAGTATATTTTTGGTTGTCGCCAGGTCGTCCTCATATTTCCATCCTGGTGCCACTCACTCTTTCGCACTCTACCCCGGTCAAGGCCGGTGCGGGGCGACGGGGAGCCCCACGAGGTGAGGTAAGTGGTCTTGGCAGGCATGGGCCCACCAACTTCTCCGAAATTCTCCGCACCGGATCAGCGAGCTGACGGGTGCCAAAGGCACCGACCAGCCGCCACCCAACTATAGGAGAATATCAGATCCATCGGGGTACATATAAGCCAGACATGTTTCGTCACTTCTATTTTTCGTTTCACTCAGTCTCCGATGCACTTGTCGACTGTTAATCTTCTTAGAGAATTCTCTAATCTGTCATTTCTTCTGCTCATGCCAAGTTCTGGCATGGCACTCGAAGTTCGCAAATATTTTTGCCAATACTTTCAAAAGTCTTCTTGCGTAGATTGTCTTCTGTTCGTCCGCCCACATGCATGTATCCGCATTTCTTCGAACAACCCGAACCATCGTTCGACATTTTCACTTTCATCACCATTGAACTACTCCAATGCGCCTACAACATCTTTAAAGCTCAATGTTGAAACAACGCGTGCCTTTTGATTGCATTCGCCCATATTTTTTTTATCGCCTTCGCTCTCAACGTCATCGTCACGTTCTTCTTCTGACGATGTATCGTTGTTTTCCACGGCCGCCTGTAACCGCGCACGTAGTTCGGCTTTTTTCCTTGTCGTTTCTAGCCTCAAACTAGCAAGACGCGCTCTCAACTCTTTCGTTTTCAACTTCTCAATATTTTCCTTTTCATCTTGATCACGCTCAGCTCTCAGCTCAATTTTTCTGGTCAGTTGACTCCTCACCGCACGTCGTTTCCTTAGGATTCGATTGCCCAGCCCTACATGCTCATTCCAGACTGGCAATCAACACTGACCTTGCACCAGATATAGGCAAATTCATCTGTACAAGCTTACTCCTTAATTCCTCCAGCGTCAACTCCTCCTCTGTTGGCAATCGTTCATCTTCAACGCTTGCTATCATGGATAATGGTTCAACTCGATTTCAACACAATGTCACAATTACTACACGAATAGTTCTGTTAAATACCCCTTTTTCTGTCTTGTTCAAGCATGTGGATGAGCCCCCAATTGTAGGATCGTAAATAATTATGATTAGTTTATTAATAATTAAAATTAGTTTATTAATGATAAATGGATTAAACAGATGTTAATTAAACAGAAAACAATGGTTATTAAACACGAACTAATTGCAACAAATGTATAATAATTAAAACAACTAGATAGTTAATTAACAAGTCTCGTCAACGCAAATTCAATTCCCTCTTAACAACACTATCTCGACAACGCAATCTGCATTCTCTGACTTCTCAACTCATACTCCTGTTAATTCGTTTATCATTCCCAGCTTCTTCTTGTCTTTTGTCTTAGCCCCACTACGCTCATGCTCAGCAACTGCTTGTTTATAATTCATACCTCAGCAACCGCTTGTTTATAATTCACATCTCAACAACCGTTTGTTTACAATCCGCACAACTACATCTAGGCCCTTCGTCCATGACTCTATAATATTGTATTACTTGTTTTTGGTTCGCCACTCTGTCAGCGTGATCCCTATAACCACTCAATTTTTCGCGACCTACTCCGATTGAAGCCGGTGCAAGCTGATACAGAGTACCAACGTGGAGCTGAGATGAGTGGTCATGAAGAATAGGAGGACCATCTTCACCGAAATGCGTCGCACCGTATCAGCAAGATGACACGTGCCCGAGTGACGCGTGGTCCTTCGCGCACCCATACTCTTGTGGAGGATGGCTGTGTGGTTTTGTTTTAAATGACGAGATAATTCGAAGTTGAAACCGTCAAGTGTATTTTAATGATTAATGAAATAAAATGATTAATAAATAAATAAATACAGATAATGTCGCTAAAACGCTCACACTAACAGATTCGCTAAAGACAGTATATAATCGCTAATATAATCGCTTATAACTCGTTGGTAATTAAAACTCTTACAATCGCGTTCGTTCGCTTATACTGGTCGGGGAGAGTCCGAAAATTTGAATTCGAGTTTGCTTGACGGTTGCATGCAGCGGCGAAATTGTTTTTCCCGGAGTTTATTTATTATTACATTACGTGTATCCTAACGATATTGATACTCCGAGACAAAACAACATGATTTGAATTGTTCTCTAGCACATGTGCTGCTACACTCTCTTCGTGCTCCGCGTTCTGTAACTATAATCTTTTTTTTCTTTTTGCGCGAGGAGGAAATATGCATTACACATACCCAGTGATCCGCGTCACCGTGTTATGAGGGCCCCGGTAAAAAGCAGCGCCATACCCACAAAAAACCCCTCCTTTCTCCAAACCTTCGTAGAGCGGAGAGTCTCGCCGGCACCGTTAAATAAGCATTACTACGACGAGACCCCAGTCGATGCATCAGCTCCTTATATAACTATGCTCATACATTCTTATCAATTATTGCTCCTCGCAATCATACTTCCTCATCCTATCATCCTTGGACAGAGTTATCCCCTATTCCTTTCACCAAATTTAATGATCGCCGGTCTTTTACCCGGTCTATTCTTCCTATTATTCATCCTTATGAGAGGGCACGCCAAAGAATCGATGACGTGCCTGACATTAACTCCGTTGTACTTCACGCACAGGGTGCATCTCGGCTCATTACTACTTTCATACTTTTTATGATCCGACGAACCACATCTGCGGCAGTTCTCCCTGCCTGGCTCCACAGCTGTGCACTTCGCAGCTACATGCCCTATGTCATGGCACCTAAAGCATCTGATAATATTCAGCAGAACCCTACCAGTACCGATGGTCCACCCGCTTTTGATTCTAATTGGGGCATCACCCTGCGGGACTTTATTAGTAGGCACCGTGACAATTGTGGACTGCGTCTCCCACGGCGCCCTCCTTAAGGTTTTAATATCCACCATTTTGAGATCCTGTATGTCAAGATCCCTACAGATGTCACCGACCCGGTCCTCCCCAGAGGAAAGAGGTTGCTTTTGACCTCAATCTTGATTCTGTTTAGAAGCGGAATATTCTCCACTTCCTGTCCAATCGCAGGATTCAACCCCTCGGCGACCTCACTAGTCGTTCCTTGTCCGCTAATCTCGATCAGGACGTGGCCGCCTCTGGTCTTGCGCACTTCCGTCTGGAGGCACCCAGCGCCATCAGGCATCTTGACCATGACTGCCTTCCTCCTCCTCGCCTGCTGTCTCACCTGGAGATGCCTCTCATTATTACCAGTGATATCACCCGTTGTATTATATCTATATGGACGGTTAAATTAAAGATGGATGAATCCAGATGGTTCGATGTCTGATCTGGTTCACCCTTTCTAAAAATTCAAATTATAAGTCGACAGGTATTTGTAGGATTGCAGTGAAGGAGTAACGTTTATGTATTGATTCGGTATTGATTGATGGTCTTATTAGTTATATATGTGGACGAAGAATGTAAGGAGAGTATGATGATTTTTATATGGCATGACTCGAAGTTCATAGCATTGCTAATTCTAATTATTAACAGAGAACTTTGGCTATGTATTGATGGATCGAGCTAAATGCAAATGGGATCGATGGTTAGTATTTGCTATTTTATATAGAGTGTAGAGATATTAATAAAAGGAAGTAGGTTCGTTGATGAGACTGCCTATACGTAGTATTTGATGGTACCACTCACCTCAACTTCTCGTGGGCCCCCTGTCACCCTGCACCGGCAATGACCGGGATAGGGCGCGAAAGAGTGAGTGGCACCAGGACGGAGACTTTCGTTGACGACATGGCGACAACCACAAAAATACAATGAATTTGGTCAACCAAAAGAAGCACGTTTACGATCTAGGGGAGGGAAATCCCAGTACCGGTGCAGTCGTGGGTAGTCGAGTGGGCTTCACTGCGTCGTCATCTCACGACCATGGCCGTTCGAGGGTGCACCGCCACGCCCCCGGCCTTACTGCCCTGTGCATCACATCCACGGGCTACCGCATTGTATCCCACGCGGCGCTTTGTGTATTGACCGGGAACTTACCGATCTACATTAAAGTGCGAATGTTGAAGGAGATATACGAGAGAAAGAAGATCTATAAGACACTAGCTGTTGGAGAGGAGGTGATCCACAGGCATGCGGAAATGAAGGAATAGCTGGAAGAAGTAAGGAAGAAGACCTCAACGGAGTGGCAGGCGGAATGGAGCATTTATAATAAGGATAATTTCACCAGGAAACTAATAAGTAATGCGTCCATATTCGCCAGGAATAGAAGAGACATCGACCACTTTACGATGCAAATGCTCACGGGACACGGCATCTTCAACAGCTACCGCAAGAGGATCGGTAAGGAGGTCGACACGAAGTGCTGGGACTGTGGAGACCCGAATGACGACGCCGAGCATGTCTTATTGAGAATCGAGTTGGAGAACTTTCTGGGTGTCAAGATAAGAGTTGGACACCTTGGTGGACACCGTAGTCACCAAGGATGAATACTGGAGGAAGTTCAGAGAGTTCTGTAAGGGTATAATAAGCTATAGAAGGGATATGGAGAAGGCGATGGAGTCAGCGAATAGGACGAGTGGCATCAGTACGCGACGATAATATGCGGCGACACGGTTGAGGACAACCCTGATCGGCTCTGCTGGGGTTGTCCGTATCTAACAAATCAGAGGAAAGAGGAGGGGTTTTTAGTAGGTATGGCGACGTCATCTGCCGAGTCCCACATAACCTGGCGACGCGGGTCACCGGGTCTGCGCAAAGGCATATTCCTCTCCTCGCGCGCAAAGGCGCCCGGCCATGTTTCTGCGCCTGGCGAGGTGGGAAGCAGCAGAATGGAGGTTGCGGAGGAATCTCCAAGAAGAGTCACGAGGAGTTCTCAGAAAACCGTGGAAGGTTGGGAGAGCACTTTTCTCGCTCTGGCCATGATAGTCGATGCCACGTCGTCAATGGTTAGAGGATTCCGGACGCGAGCCATGTCTGACGACGAAGAGTCAGTTGTTTCGTTCGCGTCGCGCTCATCGCTGGCTTCGACGGCGTCCAGGGGAAAGAATAGGCGAATTATGTCGACAACCCCGGATGTTTCGGAAGAGCTGTCCATAGAAGTAAGGGCGAGCTCGGCGGCGGACGTCAGCGCCGAATTTACCAGGAATGTCGCGCAGATCATAGGGGTTGCGACGATATCTCTTGCCACCGGGACGATGTAGTTGTCCAGGAGGATTGGACCCGCCTGCGTTACCCAGCCTCAAGACTCGCGGATGCGAGGCCATCGTTGCTGGAGGAGCAAAAAGCGAGGTCCTGAGGAAAGAGCTTGCGAGAATGGCGGTGAGCGCGCCTTGGGACTGTTCTCGGTGCGGCGCCTCGGCTTCCGATTCGGAGTGTCCTCCGAGAAACGGACAAAGTGACAACGCGCGTCTCACTGCCCTGGAAAAGAAGGTCGAGGAGCTGGGACCCTCCATCATAAGGGCCATTGAAGAGCGCATCGGATGTAGGCGACACAGTCGTGAGGTGCGAGCCAGAGAGGATTCGGTGGCCTCGGCTCTCATCAGCAGCGCCACCCAATTACCATCGTTCCCGAGGGAGCGGCGGGGGGGGGGGGGGGGGGGGGGCGNNNNGGAAGGTGGCCGAGCCAAGGAAAAAGGGAAAGAGGTAGGAAAAGGTGAAGAAAGTCACAGAAAGAGCGGTGGGGAGCCAAGTCTACACGGCTTCATCCGCAACAGACGCTTAGGCTGAGAGGAGGACAAAGGGCATCCCGAAACCCAGGGCGACGGGAACCTCGGCGAAAACCTCGAAAGGTGTGCCGCTGCAAGCGCCAAAGAAGACTGTGCTCCCTCGCGCAACGCGATTATCTCCGGTGACTCTAACCCTAGGTGAGGGGACGAAGACGTCATACGCGGAGGTGCTGGCGTCGGCAAGAGGGAAAATCTTGCTGGCACAAGTTGGTATAGAGGCGGTTAAGATGCGTAAGGCTATGACCAGCGCTATCATCTTGGAGGTCCCCGGTGATAAAGACCGGAAGAAGGCGTCCAACTGGCCACGTGGCTGGCGCAGATCTGGGACCCGACCACGGTCAGAGTTGCGGTTACAGCCAGAATGGCGGAACTACGTATGATCGGGATAGACGTCTCCGTCTCCAAGGAAGAGTTGCGGGACACCTTGGCGTTGGCTGCGGGATACGGCGGCGCGGAGGTGCAGGTTGGAGAAACTGGGACCACTAGGAACGGTCTCGGCTTGACTTGGGTGCGTTGTCCACCAGTCGGAGCGAGGAAGCTGGCTCAGGCAGGAAAGGTTGCACTGGCATGGTCCATTGCTAGGGTCGAAGCCATCGCGAAGAGGCCCTTGCAGTGCTTTAAATGCATGGATTTAGGGCACGTCAGGGCGACGTGCGTATCGACGATAGACCGATCACACCTATGTTATAGGTATGGCGAAACTGGGCATCGCGCTAGAGGTTGTACTGCCTCTACACCCAAGTGCCCCCTTTGCGAGTCGCTCGGGCCACATGCGGCCGACCGGATGGGAGGAATGGCATGCTGCCCGCCGAAGAAGGAAAACAGGAGGATGCCATCAACTCGTGACTCTGCCGCGAGGAAGTGCATAGCAGATCCAGCGTGCGCCGAAGGAGGTGCCATGGATTTGGTGCGGTGAATTCATGCGCCTTGTCCAGACTAATCTGTGACGGCCGAGACGGGCACAAGACCTGCTCTCCCAGACCATCCGGGAGGTCTGGTGGTGGCTGAGCCGTACTGTACTTACGATGTCCCCGACTGTGTCAGAGACCTGAATGGCTTAATAGCTGTAGCATGGACACCGGCGATAGGCCCCCCTGGCGTCCTGCTTGATTGTGGCAGCGGTTATATCGCCGCCGAGTGGGCTGGAATGTTGTTAGTGGGCGTCTATGTTTCCCCTAACAGCGGCCGGCCGCATTTGAGGACTTTAGAGGACAACCAGATTTAATAGCCTCCACCCCAGCGAAGATACACTGATCGGAGAGGAGGGATACACAAGACGACACGCTTACAGTGAATAATATAATCCCATTGTCGGCCGACGACTATACCTGGGGGCTGTTCCGGAGTATCTGCGGGGCAGTGATGAAGGCAAGACAGGCACAAGAAAGATACAAAGGCGGAGCGACTCGAAGAATGGGAAGAAGAGGATGATGATTATCTCCGAAGAAATGGAAGCATTTTTTAGATACGGAGTTGACGCGTCGCATGGGGGTTCTCCGAGGTAATGTTCTATCAACAATGCCGACGAAACCCTCCGCTCGAAGAAGGATTGGAAGAGGAGGGGTTTTGAGTGGGTATGGCACTGCCATCAGCCGAGTTCCACATAACCAGGGCAACGCGGGTCGCCAGGTATGCGTAATGCATTTTCCCCTCCTCGGGGAAAAGAAAAAAAAAGAAGCGGTTGGGGTTAGGTTGGCTGCGGACAGTGAGGAAGAGGATAGCGCGAGGGAGAATATCGACGCTCAGAATAGTGAGGTCGAGGGAGAAGAGATAATGTTCACGATGAGTGAGACGAAGGGGTTCACATAAGCCTTGTCGGGGACGGTGCAAACGTTGAATGCACTGGTTAAGAAACTGAACCCCGACAAGGAGAAGAACGACGGGATTAACCCGTTTGTATCCAAGCGCGGATTATTCCGCGCGTTACGACTGCTTTTTATTTCAGTCGCTAAGTATTCTTCAGATGTGAGAGATCACGTTTAACCCTATATCAGTTTACTGTTTTCTAAACAAGTCTTACTTTTGTTGTGAAAATCCTTTTAACTGCCACTATGAGTAAGTACTGTCAATATTAATTAAATTTAACAAATTCAAATTTAAAAAATATCCTGATTTTATAATGTAAACTAATTTGATTGCCCCAATGGATTTTGACGATCTTGATAATTCGGATCAAAGTATACCAATAGGACATACTGAAAATGTATCCGTAGGATTTCATCAAGCGAAGACAGCGAAGTTGATCAGTGCGGCAGTTTTAGAGATGAAGATCACATCTGGAAAGCAAAAAATGATACGCCAATTATACATGACTTTTCAAGTGTGTTTGGTGCAACTGTCAATACCCAAAATCTGTCGAGGAGAACAGTTCTTTAATTATTTTCTAACGAAGAATTAGTTACAAAACTAGTTACAGAAACTAATAAACATGGAGAAGCCGACGCAAATTTTATGCCTCTTTCAGAAAATGAAATAAAAGTATTTATTGCTTTAAACATTTTAGTGAGCTTAGTTTCTAAGCCAAATATTCAGTTATTGGACCACGGATAAGAGCATAGTGGAACCGTGCGACGTCCCTCGGTATTGGGTCGCTAAGGGTCCGCTGACCGTTATGTACACCCTCAACACACCTAAGGCCCCTCTATAAATTGAATCTTATTAACTTGCAAAAACCGTTAATCCTGCAAGTATTTTCGGTTTATAACTGGTACTTAAAAGGTCCTTAGGTTTATTGTGCTCTTTTAGAAATTACGGAATAACTGGTAATGATATAATGGGAAAAACCAGTAATTATATAATGGGAAAAACCGGACATTTACCTATCATCCTATCATCACTCACCAACGCTGGTCATAGCCAATGGGAATCACGCTTTTCATAACGAAAAGCTTCCTTCGAATAATAATTACATACATACCGAGCTTTCCTCCGGAAGTATATAACAGCGGACAGTAAGAATACAGGTCAATTCAGTTCCAGAACAGTTCCAGTTCGAGATCAGTTCAGTTCAGTTCAGTTCGAATACGCTCAACCCTCAAGAATTCTTCGAAGACCACCTAGCTACCCGTACTCAATCTCGGTCTTCAGATCAGTCAAAATATCTACCCGGATTCTCTCATATCAGAGCAATCCATTTCTTCGTCACCTATATCTTAAGCAGCGGAGCTACTAACTTGTGTTGTTGTACAAAGTTGTTGGAAATATATGCTGGGATATATATATATGCGGATATATATGCGGAATGCTGGGGAAACCCCCAATACCCTAGTCCAGACTTTTACGATAGCTGCATTTAAGCAATAAAAAGAAAAAAGAAATAAATAAGAAATAACTTTAATGTTCCAACCTGGCTTTATGGCGACGTGTTCAGGTTCAAGGTGACCTAGCGGGTCACTAGACGTAACCACGGCCACGGGAGTGTAACGTCAATTCACATCAGGGACCAGGCCACACACCACGGACAGGATGGCACCCAGATGTCTGCATATCCTTGGCGCGCACCCTCAATAGTCTTAAGTGCCCACCAGGGGCCTTGGCATTTTCATAGTTAAGGTCCTTCGGACCAAGCGAGTATTTCCTGTCTTAGATTTCCCTTTACGTTTATTTTCTACCATGTGTTAGCTTAGAAAGTTGGTTTTCTCCACATCTGGTATGTTCCGTTGGCAACTTTCTCGCGAGGGCGGCTAAAACCCTTCCTGGTCCACCAACCGTCTTATTATCCAATCGGAGACGGTGTCTACTGCCCTCACTTCCTTAACCAAAATTGTCATCAACAAATCCGATAATCCCGTGTCCTTAGACACACACACGACAGTAAACATTCCAACGGTCTCTGTCCCGTAGCTCGCCACATGCAGACCCTATTCTTCGAGTAAGATGATTGCCAGATGTCGATGCATTTCCGCAGTACATGTGCAGCTTACCCTCGAGGGCGACTAGCATCATTTTCTAACCACCTATATAGGGATTGGCCAATTAGCAGCAACGTCAATTTCCTTCACCTTCGGAACGAAGGGTTTCCTCGACGAATCCGAGGATCTCGTTTCCTTAGACACACCCCATATGGTTTTCCTCTGTGGCATCATCGGGACGGAAAGTCATTCTCTCTCGCGATCTCATCGATTAAAGAGTGACGTCTTTACGATCAGTGATTATTTCACGTTTTGCTAACGAAGAGTTGTGAGAACTTTCATTTATCATCCCGTTGACCGCGGATTCGTTATCAAACCTGAGGCCATTGTCACTGGTGTCGCGAATGCCTAATCGCCGTGGTTGATTGTCAAGTCTGTGATATCCATACTTGTGTTCATAAACCGTACCTTTGTTATACCATAACGATGGCTAATTCCAATGAAGATTCATCAAACGTCCACAACCCTATCCACAACGCCACCCCGACGTATATGAACCAAAATAGAATACATAAAGTATATTTTATATAATATGTTTCATGCCCCACATTCTTCTTAATCATCACATTTTATCTCAGACATTTTCCTTTCACAATTTCCTCAGAGTTCTGATGCCTGAACCTCTTCCAAGCTGCATATCATTTTTTACTTTCCTCTTTTTCTCCCTTTTCCCCCCTCTCATACGAGGCGTGATCAAAAATATCGTTGAATTTTTTTCTTATTTGAGAAAATATTTATTTATTCGTCTATATTTAAATTATCCCCTTTTAATATGTTGAAGTAACTACTTCAAGAAAGCTCTACATCTCTATTTATGTATATCCTAGAGACCTGTATTACGCAGAAAATAGAATTTAATGAAACAAAATTATTCTAAATAAGGAGAGTCCCATATTATTGTACCCTTGAATATACATTTGTTTTGGGTTACAGGGTCTAGGAACAAAGGAACTAATGAGTAGATTTTTATTTATGTTGCTTGTAGCCTTTCGTTAAAATTATAAGGTTAAATTTTTTGGTAATGTCCTTTTGCTATAAACGAACGTGCTCCCTATCGATTCTATTGTATAGTGACACTAAGAGAGTAAGGATCTGAATCAGCACAAACTTATACCTTTATTTATTTCAATATATTTTTCTATTACAAATTCATTCACTCGTTCGTCTATCAGTCAACCTCAACAGAATACAGTATATTTTTTCCAGCGTGTCTTTCAGTCATGAGCACATTTCTGAAAGCACTTTCTTCTATAGTGCATAGTTCACATAACGACTTTTGTTTCATTTTTTCATTATGGAGAATAACAAATAATCGCAAGGAAGCGATCAGGTTGTAGCGACGCAGGAGTCAAAGAACGACGCGAATCGTGAGCGATTCATGTTGTTGTTTTGCCTCGGGGTATTGACACAGGCTTGAAACGTGAAACGTAATGACAAATAAATTCCGGGCAAGACTCTCCCGACCATTATAAATAAACGACCGCGATCGCGGGCGAAACAGTATCGAACAGTATCTAACAGTATTGTGGTGGATCGGTACCAACAGGACGCCGACAGGTCGAGACATCAAACGCGGTCGTCACCTCCCGTCAAATCCGGGTACCAACCGCCAACACCAGAGGGCTACTACGATGACAACGAGTCTGTCTGTCTCGCTAGCAGTCGAATATACGGTGTCACGATACAAATACCGCACCTAGCGAGACTCCCTCTAGTCTAAGGCAGGGACTACCGGGCATAGCTGTTAAGTAGATGATACATTTACACTGTACATGAGTGTGTGTGTGTGTAAGCGTCAGAGGACGCCCAGGTCTTAGTTGAGACAAAAGACTATTGTTAGATGGGAGAAGCTTCTAGAATAGTCTGGTTGGCAACAAGCGCACGTACAAGAAGGTTATCGAAGTCTTCAGAGTGTAATATATATGTATGGCTGTTGTGTGTGAAATAAAGTAAACTATTTGTATTTCCGAATCCTCTCTATACCTTAACATGTTAGCAGAGAGTGGTTACTAGTTCTCCAAGCTATTTAGTGCGTGGTTTTTAGTCTTGCGAGTTAGATCGAGTGAGTATAGTAAGGGAAGAAACGTTCAAAGGATATAAAATAAACGAAGAAAAATACTTCAAGCACGTAGGAACGCTTGAGTAAAGAATAGGGAATCAATTCAAGTGGAGAGATAGGAAATGATGATATCAATATTTGATGGTGAGGATTACGGTATGTGGAAGAAAAGAATAACGACGTTTCTGACTTATAAAGAATGTCATATTGTTATAACTCGAGTGAAGATCGAAACAGACAATTCAGACTGGGACA